TGAAAACATCAATGGAAATGGTCATTTTTATCCATGCCAAAAAAAAGGGTTTTTTTTGTGGAAGTGTAAAAAGAAACTTTAAAGCTGAGTAGGCGAGTTCCGTAGCATAAATTAAGACAGACATATTCGGCCAAGGACAAATTAATTCAACGTGCCGGTGCTTTCTTATTGTGTGACAGACTGACAAAGTTCGTCACATACATTTTTGGCGCCCGAGCAGGTAGTTCGATGTTTCCCGGGAAAACCGATTTGTAACGCTGCTCATATAGTAAACCGATACGGCGATATTTCCAAGACAAACAAGAATGTATGGGACGGACTTTGCCAGTCAGTGTACCACAACAACAAACACATGTAATTAAAGTCAGAGTAATTTCAATTAAATGAATACAGCTCAAATTTAACGGAAACAATGACTGCGGCGGTGGCGGTACTGAAACTCAGGCGCCACCAAGGGACGCCAACTTGCAGTTTGACAAGTATTCGGCAGTAGGAACGTGTTCTTGCTTATAGACCAGATGCGGCGGTTACAATTGCGTCGGAAGCTCCAGGAAGTCAGCCAGAGACAACGATGAAATCCATCAAATCCAAAATTGGTCGGTAGCCAAAGAACCGCTTGCTCAATTAAGCGTTTACCTTTTGCACATCTCCACGAAATGTGGAAATGGTATACGGGAAAACCAAGCAGCCGACGTATTCCTTGCGACACGCTCAGAAATTAAATTTTTTTAAAATTAATTACGCCCTTCCATAAAAAAAAATAAATATAAAAATATGAGATGCGTGTCAAAATTCAAGTTTTGTAAGAGCGCATCTGATGGATGTCATCTCGAATTAATCGGAGACTCTTATCTTGTTTTAGTTAATTGAAATAGGAAAAAAATCGCACTCACCTGTCGTCGTTCAATCGCTATTTTTCTTTTCTTGTGTTCCAAGGAGAATATGGCGAGGTAAAGGAAAAGATCAGGATGGCTAATATTTAATTGATTGACCGATAGGTGAACGATTAATTAATGACGACGCTGTAGATAGATACACCTCACACGCAACAGAACTTTACCACAACAAAACTATTGAATTGAAAATCTTATCACCCAAAATTTCCCAAACTAAAATTAAAAGCAATGTATGCATACTCCATCTATACAAAAATGAAATAAAACTATTTTAACTGAAATTTATACAACGGCTCCAACATATCTGTAACTCAATTATTTATATACGATTAATTATACTTATACAAACGGCCAGAGTAAAATTTCAAAATTCTGCAATAGAACCCATTATCTACGTTAACTGCATGGCGTCGACTGGTTTCAAGTTCGTTTTGAATTAATATAGGAAACAAAAACTTGCTAATGTTGGCTTAACGTGGCTTAATTTGCCTCGCCCTGGAACTGTTGCAAACGGCGGATTATTTGCCGCGTTAATTAGGGTAGCGGTGGCTGGAACACAACTCCAGAAATTAAACCAATTACCTTTTTTATCTTCTCGTAGAGCCAACACAAATATTTCGGCGAAGCGCCTCCTTATACCGGGCGTTTATACACTGGTGGAAACTGAGCGCTTAATTGCGTCGGTGAAATTACGTCTAGAAAGAATTAATTCCAAGAGAATCCGTAAAGTGAGGGTAGCGTCGCTAAGGTCCAATTTTCCCCCTTGACCAATTTCCGAAATATTGTCGCTGCAAGCAGGACCGTACCCAGTCTGTTTTGTATCAAAATCATCGTCTGCCATAGAACATTTTGATATGAGGTACAGTGATTTAATTTATATGAAATTAAGGGCTGTTTAACACAAATTTTAGTAAACTATATTTGATTGATGGCAAGGAAAATTTTAATACCATATTATGGGTCACATAAAGCCGTTTATATTAGATAGATAAAGTGTAATTTGTATGAAAAAATTTGCGGCGTACTGATAATGAAGTTTGGGTAGTTCAAAAGAACGTGGCCACGAGTAAGATTTATTTTTGTTGAATTTCCTAGTAAAAGCTATAAATAGAGAACATGTAAGAGAAGTTTAAATTAGATCTATTTTATCTCGTCACTATATTCCATGATATTTTTTGTATTTATTGTTGCTAACAGACAAGTCAATAAACCAAGTGTCAAAACAAAAAAAGAAAAAAAGGAAACATTTTCACTAGCCATACCATCGTAAAATGTATGTCATGAGGTAGCCGTAGAGATTTAATTGTTTTGCAGAAAAGATTCAAGTTCGCATTCAGAGAAGGATTAATCAACCCTCTTATATTATAATAACGGTCTTTATTAACCTACCGTTTCAGGAAAACCATCTGCTCTATTGTACAGTTAGTGAATCAGCATCTGAAGCGACATTTTCGAAGTGAGTAATTGGTAAATCCAATTTACACTTGAATTAGATTACCGTAGAACGACTTAAGTAACTCACGCAACCTAATTTTGTTACCAACCTACCTAATTGTTATAAATTTCTAATTTCCAGTTACTGTATGCTTAATTTATGCGCTACATTTTCTTAATAAATGTTTGGCCTTATCATTGAGTATATGGGGACAATGATGAGGTACGTAGTTAGCTTTAAATAGCACAGGTTTGTACAAGTTCGTTAATTTTGAATCATCTATAAGAGCTAGTTAAAAAATCTAACTACTTCAAGAAAAAATGGCAGACAATAATTACCAAAATATACAGGGTGATTCCTATAGTACCTGCCACCGTTTGAGAGCGTATAGGGGGTGCCTAGGGGAGTATTTTGATATAGGACACTTGGGGTCGGAAATCTAAAATAAGGGCGCCAGAACCAAATTTATCTTCTGGAATTTCACGCCTGTATGTAGGCAACCCAACCGACCGACGTTTCGCGCGGAGCGATGCAGAGCGAGTTAGCGCGAGGAAGCGACATGGGAGGGAAGGAGGGAAAACGACAGTCAAAAGCAATAACGTTTACAAGTGTTCAACGTGGCCACCGTTGTTCTCAATGCACTTCCTACATCTAGCCAACTATTATTATACTATTGCCATAGTGTTTATTCACTTGATACGCGTCGTTGCAGACGGGATTTCGTGGGTTTAAACAAAATTCTGATCAAGTGTCAGCCACACATCGCCGCCTGAGATCGCTCCGTGTGCACCGCCGGCCGGTTGGGTTGCCTACCTACAGGCGCGAAATTCCAGAAGGTAAATTTGGCTCTGGCACCCTTATTTTAGATTTCCGACCCCAAGTGTCCTATATCAAAATACTCCCCTACGCACCACCTACACGCTCCCAAACGGTGGCAGGTACTATAGGAATCACCCTGTATGTACAAACCCTACCGAAATAAATCTTGGCTACAGCTTTGTATTGACTTAGAATTTTTCAATTTGGGAGACTTGGTAGCCTCGATCAACTTCCAAAAATTCCAAAGAATTTATTATACATTATGATCACAAGAAAACCTTATCTGGGTCGAACAATGGTTTCGAATAAACACAATGAAACAAAATTAAAACAAGATCCCTGAAAGAAAGAAAGGCTTACAAAGCTTACTTGTAAAGTAAAAGATTTGCGATATAAGGCGCAGTTAGCTCTACAAACGCTGGCAGTTTCTGAACTTCACTTTGCTTTATTAAATTCGCAAATTTTCTGTGGCTGTTCGCAAGGTAGAAACGTTTAACTTTTAATTAACAAGAGGAGAACCTTAGCAAAAGGTCCCGCTGTACTACAACTACTTCCCTTCTTCAATTTGACAAACCTTTTTTCGTAATCGGGTAACACGCGTGCTTTTGCACAGATTTATTATAAAAATGCGTCTTAAACAAAACCCGTATACAAGGAAACACCACTTCCACCTCATTTTTTTTAAATTTTTTTAATAAACCGCCAAACACGACTGAACGCGCCAAACGTCCCCACTTCTCCAGATGATACGCGCTTATCCCTTAATAGGGATAAAATATGCGCTTTAATTAATTGTCGCCTGATAAAACTTCTTGCCGCAATTACCAGACAAAACCTTTTACAAAGCACGCAAATTTGATCAGATGTGTTTTACGCTTAACATCTAAATTGAATAAATTACAAAAGCAATAGAATTAAAACCAAAAATTACAAAGTTTCTAAAAGAAAAAACAACACTGAGGTACAAATACAAATGAAACGAAATAACTTTGTGTTTATTTCGTAAATAATCTCCTAGATATATCAATAAATTGAAACAGGGTGTCCCGTCATTATTTTTGGTATTTAGACCGAAATGACGTTACACAACCATTAGTTACCTATCCATAATACGTCTTTCACAAGTTGGGCACACATTTGCTTTAGAAGTAGGAAAGGCAAAAATAAAAGAGTGGTTTCGAGAGTGGACATTAAACGTTGAATGCATTCCGAAGGGTCGCAATTAAATAAATTGTCGGGGTGCTTATATTAAATTAAACTCGATTTAAACATACTTTCGCGTTCCCTGATGATTATTGTATTCTCGCCATAATGTGTCATAATCAATTTAGAAAGCTGCAAAAATAAAGATTTAATGTTTATATTTTATAAGACTATTGAATAAATTCAATCATTTTAACTTGATTAGCACCAAGGTAATCGTTGGTAGCTTCCCGTTAATTTGTTAGGGTGATATTCCAGCTTGACTTCGAAAGATTTAGTAATCTTTTCCCAATTTTCTTCCACGTTATCGAAACGTTATTTACCTACCAATATGCATATGACCGTTATCCTAAACGATGCACTTGAACGTTTTCTGGAACACCTGAGCTAGCACATTTAATAAGATTTTCCCGTTTGTAGAGTATTTACGTTCATTTTAAGTAAACAGGTAATGTGAGCTTTTTTGCAGAGTTCGCTGCCAATGTTTGTTTAAAACATTTTCTGGATATGTTACTCATGCATCAACTTAATTTACAGTAAACTTCAAATCTAAAATACTATTGCACGCCTTTGTGTTTCCGAATAACAACGAAATTTAGTAATTTGTGCTTATGGAGTTCAATATATTAACAACTTTCTATTTACAGTGTACGTATTTGTTGGCGAACACATCGCGTTAATCGATTTTATCAGATGCCTTCAAAGACGTAAACTATTAGACAAAGGCGATTACGTTGTGATCTCGGTGGATGATGAAATTTACGACCCCAATGGTAAAATTAGTATCATGAAAAGAGGTAGGTACCTAAATCCCCGGAAGAACACTTAAAGCAGAGTTTCTTTCAGAATATCTCGATCCGTTCCTCAACGAAACGTGGGGAAACACCGAGGACGTTATGGGATTTAGGTCGGTTCTGAAACTTACCCCTTCACATCCCAGAAATCCCAATTACAAGTAATCTACTCAACATTTTTGTGGGTCACGCTGACGAGCTATATTTTCAGACACATTTGTGAGCAAATAAAGGCGATGTCGGCGAAACCACCCTTCTGTGTTCCATATCATCACAAAATATTCGATAGTATATCTGTAAGAGGGAAAAATGTCGACGAATTTTAACTTATTTAAGACTTTTTCAGGTTCCCATTCAGGCCGCGTACTTGTACGACGCAGTTATGATTTATGCGAGAGCTTTAACGGAAGTTTTCCAAAGTAATGAAGATTCACGAAACGGAACGGCCATCATTAAGCGTATGTTGGAACGTTCCTACCACTCCGTGCAAGGAAACGATGTAAGTTTTATGGTATTGCTTGATGTGAGCATGACCGCCAATTAGTAATGTGCCATGTACAATACATGCAATTCAAAAAATTGTTTTTAATTATAGAGTGTATTGTGTATATAGAATATCGCCTGAATAGTAATTGTGTTTTATGATACAGTATATTGTTGTGCTCCCCACTGAGTTGCAATACGAATTCACGAAGTTTTTGTAAAATGGAAAAATATGTATTACAACACACGTTACTACAACGTTTTGAAGGTGAAAATGGACTGTCCTTGCCAAATATTTACTTTGCTCCTTGCGGAAGTAATGCCATTCGTGTTATAAAATATTGCACAGAGACCGAAGGGGCGGCATGTGAGTCCGTACAGGGGTAAATAAACTTCCAGTCGGTACCCAGGTATATCAAAGCAAACACAAGTTGGGAAAGGTCATGTTATACAAAATTTAATTACATCGCTAATACGGTTCAATTAATTTTAGATATTAATTAAGTTTGGAGGAATGCATTCAATTTATATATCGATAATAGCGGACCTATTCCAATCGCTGCAGGGTACCAAATTTGCAAAGAATTAAAAAAAATGAAATATTTGGATGATGAGCAAGTATTACGTAAAGCCTGGGGTTTAGAATTATTACAATAGCAAGGAAGGTTATATTGATTATGAATGACGTGCGTTTTCGTACTCTAACGAGAGCTTATAATTGGGATTTGAGTTCTTCCATTTTTCGCAGGAATCAATTGAATTGGGAATTTTTAAGTTGTAACGATGTTAGGGTTTTCAATTATTTTTGACTCAAATAAATATTGGTTTTTGTAACAGAGGGGCCGACATTCAAGTATCAAAAAGCGACGTCACCCATCACCAGCCTGTTATCTCTGTCAACACCTTGTGCTTAAAACTCCTAAAAGCCAAAAGGATCGATCGGTCCGGTTTAGAAAGGTAGTTGTCACTTTGGTGCCTGGCGATTATCCTAGATTTCACACTGTATCAATGAGGCATATTGAGTTTCATTTGCGTGATAAAATCACTGGCTTGGAAACTGCAAAATCTACAGTTTTGAGTTGCGTAGGAAGGTCTCTACTCTAAAACCATCTGGGCTTGCTAGTAAGAAAAGACTAGAACGATTAAAGATGTCCGCCGGGATTCAAGATCCGCCATTTTATAGGTAGAACCAAGTAAAAAATTAACTTTGCGGAAATATTTTAAGGATTAGCTTCTTGACCACGGAAGCCCACACGTCACAGTAGCGAAAAGAAAGTTATTTTTATTGAAGCGACAGTAAAGGGTGCTTATTCAAGATAGTTAAAAAATTTGCGGTTTCGGGCCGGTTTAATGAATTTGTCCTGTAGCCATCGCGACCAATATTTGTACCGTAAAAGAAGGCAGAATGAGTTTTGAGTTATTATATTAAAACAGGAAAATTCGGAATTGAGTATAAAGCAAACGTGTCAATTGTACTCGCGTAGTAAAAACAACAAGGAATATAGCGAAATTTCAAAGGAAGTGACGACTATTAATTATTAAAACACTTTCCTTGTATACAGTGAGGCTTTATAAGTGTACGCGCTAATTTGGCTAGTACAAAGAACCATTATTTGTAAATGCTGCTGTCGTAAGATCAGAGAGACGATTGACTTATATTTTTTCGTGTTCGTGAAAATATTCTCATTAACGGAATGAAGAAAACTCATTAAGAAATAGAACATTTATTTGGGTATATTGACTAACCTCACAACTTTGGCGTTATATATTAATTAAAGAGTGGATTCTTCGTAACTTTTATGACATACCTACTGGATTTATAAGGTAATTTTTTTTTATTTATGTAAAAGTAAAATTTCAACCTGATTGACATCTAAAAGTTAATTAGAATCAAAATTTCAATATATTGCATGCAATGTTATTGTGTACGGAACGACAAATTGGATTGGTTTCAAAGAAACACATTTTAGAACTGGTACGACTAGATCAATAGAAGGAAATTCCAATGTTGGTAGTTCATGTTATTGATATTTTTATACACTGTGTGCATAAAAATGTGTCATATTTGGTATTTGAACACACACGATCCGCTTATACCACGAACAAATCAAATAAAAGACACTTTACACAGAACTGACAACTTTTGAAACTCACTTGTGTAACCCAATAAATTGATGGATGATAATTATCTTGGCTCACTGGTGATAAGATTTTTAATTAAATAACACTTCATCAAAACCTGGACAATGACTTTGTTTTCTTAACAGCGGTACTCGATACGTAATACTTCAAGCATAGAAAAATTAAAGTTATACTTAAAATTCGATATGTTGTTCCCCGTCGTCGCCCACTATTCCCGAAGCCATCGCTCGAACTCCAAACACTTGCATTCGTTATCTTGCACGTGGCGTTGTTAGTAAATAAGGCCAATTAATTTGCACGCTTTTACAAAGCATATGGCCAGATAAAACTTTTACCTTACGTCGTTGTTATGATTAAAATATAACGATTTATGATACTCGCAAAGTACAAATAGAATTAACTTACTTAAACAATTTTTAAATTTACAATAAAAACTAACATTAATGTGACAATTTAACCAATTTCCTCGAGGTCCTATCAAATGAATTAAAACATTTTACTTACAGGATGTCCAGACTGCTATTTCCGATGCGTAAACCGAAAATTCCGTTGACAAATTTATTTTGAACTCCTTGGGGTAGTTGGCGCAACGTGTGCATTTTAAACGATTAGTTGTCATAATTCAAGTTTTATACAAATTTCGTTCCGTCATAAAAAGTGGAAAATAAGGCTTCCAGAGTTCGTAACCCACGTCAGATTTTGTTTCGGGAATTTGATTAAATTTAATAAAAATACCTCGAAAAATACCAACTTTCACGCGTGATTAAAGTCCTCCTTTATTTACAGTTGCCTGTATGGAAAGATTTTACTAGTCTGCGTGTTTACCTTAATATTCAGTGAGTTAAAAATAAGATAATATTGGCTTACTTTTCTTTGACATCTCACGTTTAATGGAAAAATAGCCACGGTCGCGTATTTATAAAAGCGTAAGTGAAAGCCAAAATTAATGTGCTAGTAGAGGTCGAAGTGGCAAAAAGTAGAAGTGGGTGGCCTAAATAAGTAAATGTGCCTCTTCAATCATTTCTAAAAAGTGGTGGCACGGTACTCCCTTCGCGCCTCGCCCAAATGTCTCCTTCAAGCGTTCTACTAATATTATTTCTCCACAACAAAATGTTTTGAAATCAATTTCTGCCATTACGAGCTAGTATTCGACCTCTTTCATTACGTAAGTGGAATATAGCAGTTCTGAAAAATGCGATTGTCCATGAAAGTGGATGCCTTCATTTTAGAGTGGGCGGGGTTTCAATCAAGGCTGCCCTACCACTATAAATTTTCAAATATCCATGTCCGAACCCGGTTTCGAACCAGGGACCCTTAGTACCGCAGTCCAGCTTCAACTGAGCTGCGCCACACGGCCGGGATTTTTCAAGTATATTGATAGATTTATGCGACGCACACATATCAGTGTCATGTTTGTCAACTAACACATCGGGGTAACATCTAGACAGTTTGTGGCCTTAAATTTAAAACATATATATTAATTTATATTATAATATATTAATATTTGACTTAGCAAACACTTTTATGTTCTGTTTCAACCATCCAGAGCATTAACGGTATCTACTGAATCTAAAGATCTAAAGAAGATGCAAGACAGTAACCCACAGAACCCTTTATAATTAATGGAAAGAAAAGTATCAAACGCTTACCTTGAACTTACTGTAAAAAGGCAAAATTCAACGTACAAATTTACACGATGTCGCCAAAAGATGCAAAAGATCCCTCTAAGTTACGACCTCATTTTCATAGAATTCGGAGATTTGTGGAAGGGTCCGATTGTTTTCCGGCATGACGTACTCTAGTGGTAATGTTGAAAAATTAAATCTTCTTGAATTAATTACTCGGTGCCCTGTTATCAAATCCGGAACCAATCTCAAAATTCATTATTTTTAAGCGCGCTTCCAACAATACCAAACACGATGCATTTTTGATAACATTTGTTGCAACACAATTAATTAACTACGACTAATTATACTCAATTAATTGGCCTGATTAATTGAACTTTTCGGATCTGCTTATCTATTGTAAACGTCCTTGCTCGCCTTTTTACTTAACATTGGGGAAACTAAGATCGACTAATTAATTAACGGTGAAATCATAAAATATTAATTGGCACCGACTTCCAAAGGGCGAGAGCTTTGGGAGGCTCCCAGAATAATTAAAAAGTCTCTACAGGAACAGCTATCAACTGTAAATTATCTTTATTTCCTTAAATTAAAGCACTTAACTTTACCTTCTAGAAGATAAATAAATAGGAAGTTACGGTTCTTAGTAATGGAGTGTCCGATCGAGTTCATCCATGTACCGGGTGTTCATTAATTCTGGTATAATTCATGGACGAAAACGGGTGCTCCCATACAACACGCAAACCTTTAGGAAATGAGAGATTAATAAAAGTGGCAATACCCTAATGTTAAAGCCCGTGCAGATGATTGAAGTCTAACAAGAAATAAACAGTATTTCTTATGTACAAGTATCTATGCGCATTTATTATTTTGTTGATTTCTTTTTGAGATTTTTGAGATACAGTAGGATTCCTTATTTGGTCAACACGATTCTTTTTAGGATATACCATATGTTTTAATTTAATTACCTAACCTTCTATGATCTATATCGCAATCCGAAACCCATATATTAATGGCGTACGTAAGCTTGAATGAATGGGATTTTAGCCCGTTGTGACGAATTGCTCTGTAATTGATTCCGAGAAATGGAGAAGTTGCTAATGTGCAATTAACTGTAAAGTGCGTTGTAGTTTATCTTTTGCCTTTGTCGATACTGTTAACGCGAGTTAGTTAATTTATTTATCTCTCGACCTGTAAATACTTACTTTTTAGTTAGTACTTAGTTACTTTTTTGGTGTAACTTATGAACGCCTGGCGCCCAAAATTATATGAGCTTTGTCAATCCTCGGCGGCTGTTTCATCAAGGACCCGTTTCCCCTGGCTAGCCGTGGCCAATTCCCTTTTCCTTCTCGAGATTCGCTGCAACAGAAATGCAGATTAATATCGCAAACCAGTTTACCTAATAATAGAAATCTGCACAATTGCGAAAAAGGGTAATTATGTAGGTACCTCCACAACTGTGAACTTTGATTTTGCAATCAACGATTTTCAGTAAACTTGTAATGAAGTTCAAGACAACTTTGTATCAATTATCCATTGGCATTATACAAAAACAAATAGGAGTAACTCCATTAAAGCCACTTTACTGGATTACTTTCCATGCACTATACAGTCCTTCATCACTGTTAATTACGTGGGCAACTTTAAATGAGTTTGCTTTAGTGTAGCAGTAGCTGAATAATTCATCCCCTTGTAAAATATACGGTGTACTTTGAGAGCTTTCAAATAAACACGACATGTGCACGTGTAGTACTTCACTCCCTTTTTCATAATAACAAAGGAAAACGTTGCAAACTTTTCCATTAATATTGACTTATACCGTACACCTTTGTCGAGAATAATAGAGAACTGAAATTGAGTCGTTTACAGGTTTATATTGACGCAAATGGTGATGCCGAAGGAAATTTCACAGTCGTCGCCCTTTTAGATGACACGGAAATGAATGGAAGCATACGATTGAGTATGCAACCTGTCGGCTACTTTGAATACCAATCGAACGGGAGTAATCTTTCAATTGCACTTCCGGTAATTGCCGTCCTTATGCTCACTGAATCTGATTGTGTTATTTTGCAGGAATTCAAGTACCTGAACGCCGCTCGTCCTATTCAGTGGCAAGGTGGAAGGGTACCATTAGCCGAGCCCTTCTGCGGTTTCTATGGGGAGAAGTGTATATACAAAACAGATTGGAAATTGGTGGCTGTTGTGTCTTTCACCACAGTTGCCGTATGCGTTGCAATATTATTCATATTGAAGTTAGTACATGTTTATTTTGCCGGGTTGTTTAGGAAAGCGAACATTCTATTCAAAGGTGGAAATTCTCGAGAATCGTTAGAAATCCAATTTGAAAAGGGGCTTAATTGAATTTCATTTGGAATTCACCAACTAATCCCCAAATCAAAATGTATGTAGGATTTTTCTTTAGTGTTACCAAAATATAAGCTCGCAAAATGTATAGAAATTTGCTGGGGCAAGATCGCATGTGAATTATATATAAGTCGATAATGAACGGTCCCTCTGGACAAACTTGCTAACAAACAAGTCAGTTCGTGGAATTTCAGGAGAGGTTCGAGTCGATATCACAGAAACACATACATGACTTCTCAAAGGAATTGAGGTATGTGGAAGCTGTGTACGATATGAAAGCTTAGTGAGCTGCACTACTCCATTATTCGATAACGATAAAATGCAAAACGTCGTCAAGCAATCACTAGGCAAACTTCAAGCAATTTCCATACTGTGCGATCCTAAAGGATTAACTGAGAGCGTTGGTATAAATATGCAATTTTATGATTATGCGTAAAATGCATTACGGTTGAAAGCTTTCTCAAGAAATACCCTTCGTATCACCGTTTTAGACATTGTATAACACTAGTCAACAAAAAAATAATTATTTTTTGCGCATGGGATTTGCATAATATATTCTGACTAAATAAGCAATTTAATAAATAAAAAGTGCGATTGAACATCGAAAATATTTGCTTATACAAAGGTTATAACGATTTAATTGAAAGCTTTCAGGGGCGAAAATGAAAGCTGGAATCTTTGTTTTCCCTCAAATAAAAAGAAATATATTAACGCGGTTACTTAGCAAAGAGGAGAAATAATCCTGGAACCGTTTTAAGGCAATAGTCTATTGTTCCACGTTCAGTGTTTCCTGGGAAACCGTAGAGCTAAAAATTATGACGAGCTGACAGGATTTAGTTTTGCATCATCGGATACCGATGTCTCTAAAGAAGCACAGGTTACATTCTCATTTAGATCAATTTAAGGATAATATGAGAGCTTGTTCGGAAGAACAAGGGGAACACTTTCATCAAGACATAATGGAATTTGGGCACGACACCGATGCCAGGCCAGTACGCTGGAAGCATGATGGAACATAATATTTGGGGGGTTGATAAGAAAAACTTCTGTTGAATATGACAGAAAAAGCAAAACTGTTCCATTTTTAAACATTTAGACTAAGACAAACAAATTATAAATGTAGGTTACCTTTTAATAAATCATTCCTATGTGGGTAAGTACAGTTTTTAGGTATTTTTATTTATTTGGTTTTTTGCATTTTTTCACACAAAAACAAATACAGAACTTTTTTTATTCTCTTATTTGTGGCTATACAATCAAAAGAAAGGTACACAGGGTGGTGACTTGCGTAACGTATCATAGGGATTTCAGTGTAAAATTCATAACATGCGATTATTGGCTCCCCAAATTATTTTTGAGCAAAAATATATTAAGCTTTTTTGTAGTAAATTATTTTACGTCAATCAACCGTATGAGTTTTCAATGTTTTTCATAATAAAGACGGAAAATTGGAAAAATAAAATCCGCATCTTTTTGAATAATTTGTGATGCCATGGAATTTTATAAAACAAAAAGTAACTCTTCTGTTATTTTTGATATCAAATTTATTGCTTGTAATAATTATAACATTTTCTAAATAAAATAAAAATGTATTAATTATCCGAGAAAATTGATTGGTCGCCTACTTTATAGCTTAAAATATGCTCTGGAAAGGTCTATGAAGTAGTTTGAAAATGTAATCAATGTACGAGAAACTACACATTGCCAAGTAACAAAATCTCATGTGTTTAAATAAAAAAAACTGTGTAATACTTATACTATTTTACGTCATAAGGTTGTAATAGTGCGTAATACAAGTGAGCACAAAAATTCTACGACCCCTGTAATACGCAAATTACAACAAAATTACGTACTATACTTTTATTTCATACTGTCCGCTATACAGTACATTACATCATTCATTTGAGTCCGGAAAGTGATCTATTACATCACAAGGCCGGAAAGTGTTGCGTAGCAACTGATAATTTTCTGACAAGAAGAAACGTCAAATTTATTTAAGACGATAGCTATTTACATTATCATTCGAAAGCTTAAGACTATTAATTATACAATTAGAATTCTCACTAACTTTAATAGTAGACACACCACCATCGCTGGGGACGGTGGTGGTGGAAACCTGTTGCCACCTTCTCAACCATATTCTTGGGGCGAAAATTGCACTAATTTCTGTACAAATTAAAAAAATTCACTCCATCGCACTTATTAATGACTGTAAATACGTCTACGTCTACTGTGAGTGTTTGTGTCCTGAATCCTGATGAATCCAAAATTAAAGGGTTGTACAATTAGGTGTCATCTAATCTTTACTAAACGGTAATCTTTTGTAGGCGCTGTCAACTTGACATATTTGGACATGTTCGCGTTTTCATTTATGATAGTTTTGCACATTGAATATTTGGAGCACACAGTTTTGACATTTATAGATAATTATCACTTCTAAACGTGCATGGTCTCATGGTTTTAGTCATTGAAAACAATATCTTATTGTTGTATATTAAATAAAGATTCCAATTTGCTTTAATTCTTGTAACCTAAAAAAACGTGACACACCATTTTACAAGTAAATACGAAACCCGGGTTGCCAACTTTTCGATCACTATACCGATGCAAAACCTTCAGCAGCAGATTTCAAATACATTATATTATTCCCCACCGAATTAAGAATCAATAGCTGAAGGTATGCTGGCCGGCGTTTAACTCGGATTAGTCTGTCCGAAACGTTGGTGGTTATGGGTCCTGAAAATAATTATTTAAATTTGGAGCGAAGGTAACCGTCTACATCGGAACTAGTGTTGACCGAAATTGACTAATGCGATCCTTTATTGACCTTTCAACTGTGCGACAATATAGTGTCCTTGTCCCATTTTTCTTTGTATGGTTCCAAATTTCCATAGGCCATTATTATTTAGATAGACACGCACTTGGACCCTGCTTTTTGAAACTGGCGGGTACCACCGAAGGACGAAGGCTGGCGTTTTCCTCCCTTTCGTATTGGGTTTGATGGCGTCTATACGCAATTTTCGATATTAATAAAGTTCTCCGGGTGATTGCCCATTTGAAGGCGGAGTGGCTCTGTGTTTGAGCATGGTTTCCTGACCTGCTGTGTTTAATGGATATGGATTTGCCAATTTGGCTTCTGTGTTGAATTGTAACTTTAGTTTTTTGACATTTCTTCGCGCTAGTCCATTCGAGATAAGCTTTTAGAAAGTGCCTTTAGGTTTACAGTATTCAGTAAATGTTTGGCTAAGAACGCCGGTAGCGTTATCAGGCACGAGGATCGAGGGATATGCATGTGTCAAGAAAGTATCTTTTTATCGGCTTTGTAGCTCAGTGGTAGAGCGTTGGGCTACAAAACCGAAGGTCGGGTGTTCGAACCTGGGCTGAAGTAGGAACTTTTCATCTGTGGCAGAGATGACAATTTCCTTAGATCAGTTTCGAGCATTCTGCCGGCTACTCCGAACTAGGTTTTCGTGCAGTTTCCTAATTCGTAAGGACCTTCTGCAGGGGTACCTCTAAAAAGCATTATGCGGGTCACTCTGTAATTGGGCGTAAGCCGGTTGAGGGCCTAGAACAAGAGGGAGAATAAATAAATAAATAATAGTGTTATAGTTAGAACAGTTGATTGTGCTTTTTTTGATATGCGTATTTCCGCCCATTTCGATTTTGCATCTACTGGGATAAGAAAATCGTATCCATCTAGTGCACAGTCAATATGGAGGCGTTCCCAGTTGTTTTCCAATTTTTACCAGATAGACGGATTGTATCGAGTCTTAACACGTTCTTCCCAGGATTCAACTTTTTGCCAATAAACATATCTTCAGGTAAGTTGTCTCATTTTAACTATAGAAATATGAGAGAATGACATTGTCTAAAGTGTAAGGTCCATCTATAACTTCAGAATGGAGATGCTGTATGATTTTATGAATCTCTAGATCTTTCGCAGATGCTTGCTTAATTTTATCGTAAAAACTTCCTGAGCAAATTGAGATACTTCGTGTATTCTTACGTTATCTTCAATCATTCCTGCAGACTTCGTTGCCGGTCAAATGATGCGAAGATATATTGGTGGTGCCATCCATTGTTTGTATCTACAGTCCTATTCATTAAGAGGTAGACATAGGAATTTATGTGTATTGTTTTTTCCAAGGTGTTTCCTATGTCTACTTTTAAATGACAAAATCTCTTCGGAAGTGCGTCTAATTTTATGCAATCAAACTTCCTAAACAAACAAAGATCTGGCTGTCACATTAATTAATTTGAATATTGTTGCCTTAGGTTCCGTAATTTTATTTTCGTTCGTGTGCGATAAGAAGAGGTTGATATTGTCAATTGGTAGAATTCCGGAAACAATTTAAGCAGCTTAAAACATTGATTTTCTGGTAAGCCAAAACAGCAATATTGAAGTTAATTGATATGCCAGACAAGTTGATTTTGTTTTCCAAAGTTATTTTAGATGCATTAAATTAGGCGCTCTTCAGAAGGGATTTTGACTTATAAAAGTAGGCTTAGGGAAAACCCACGTAAATCCCCATACTTACTTCTTAATAAATATCACTGTATATTATAAACTTATGATTTTCTTTTGTATTCCTTCAACCCGGTTAAATAAGTAATGCGGACCGATTGATAAAACTAAGTACAAGTTTCAAGTACGCGGCCTGGTTTTGGCCTGCGCGCCGTAGTTTGGGGCCCTTGATCTAGATTTGCTGTTACGATTATATTCAATTGTATGACTTAAATATTCCAGTTTTCTTTGGAGAAATGAATATTTCTTTTTGTTTAAGTAGAATTGAGATTTATTTCGAAAGATAAAACGTAAACGTAAAACGTCTAATACAGGTTGGCCATTTGAAAACGAAACAGAGTCTATTTTGGGGACCTCAAAACA